AAATGCAGCCTTGATGAGCAGAAGAGACTTCTTTAAAAACATTACAAGTCTTACTGATCCCAAACTTTTGAACAGTAGTGTATAAATATATGTATATATATATATATTTAAATTAATATTTAATTCCCTTCTACTCAGCTATTTTAATACTTCAACTTTAAAGGAAAATGAGAAATGTTGAGCTGGCAAATAGCCACAATTAACATTTAATTTTGTAATTTTTTTTTATTTCAGTTAATGCTTTATGTTTTCAGTTCTATTTCAACCACTAAAAATACCAATGCTCGCTCTAGTACACATTATTTCACCGCTTGCAGCTGGAATGACATCTCGGCGTGACTGTACAGCCTGACTGACGGGCTTCACGCTGCCGGGTCTCCGGTCTGAAGTGTATCTCCGACATGCAGAATGTCAGCTCATTGACGGCCAGCTTTCTCAGATGACAGGCGGCCATGGGAAGGTTCGGGCTTTGAAAGGGGCAGGTCGGCCCTTATCAATACAATAAGGCAGGGGCTTAAGTTGTATGACAGTATTATGTAGCAGAAATGAGGCATGAAAGTGCCCCAGAGTGGCTCCTCTGAGCCCCATTGGTCAAGCTTCCCCTCTGTTCTGGCACATGAAAGAGCGCGATGCCGCTTCTTTAAGTAGGGCTGAGTCTGCCCTTGTTTATTTATTTATTTATTTTGTCTGCTGTAAGCGTTTCGCCACACTTTCAGAGGCGGGAAGCGCAGGGAGATCCTTCCTTTGACTGCGCCACATCACTGTGTGAGCGAAAGGGAGAGAGACAGGCGTTGAGAAGGACATGCATATGTGGCGCCACTGTCACACTTGACACCTGCGAATGGCACACCTGTCTCCTCAGCGTCTGGAGTTTGGGCACTAAGCCTGGCTAGCTAATATTTATTACAAAAACTATATATATATAGTTATATATATATAGCCTATATATATCCACAGTACGTGATTTCCATTATTCATATACTATTACTGCTTAAAAGGTACATCAAAGAATATCATGCTATTATCAAATCCTCACAGTTCTTGCACTAAACATATTTTTAAAAACGGACTTGTCTGATGAAAACCCTGTACAATCAGGCAGGGTTAGTGCTATTTATAGCAACTTTTAACTTAACAAGGCATCATAAAAAAAAAGATCATGGCGTCAGACACATTTAAAACAACGAGAAGCAACGCAACAGCCAAAACACGTTCATCTGCATGTGCACAGAGATGGAAAGGTAGTGTCCAAAATTCACTAGCATGGTGTTTACTTTTCTGGCAATACCACAGTAAGTTTAAATAAGACAGACCCAATAATTCTAACACTAGGAATGTATAAAACAACATTTTCAAAAGAGACTAGTTAGTGGGTTGTCTAGCGAGTAGTTGGCTTGTAGAAGTGAAGCCCTGAATAATCAGACAGGATTAGCGCTTAAACCATGTTAACTTAATGTCGAACCTATAAGCAAAATACTCATTGCGACAGATACCTAAAAAACAAAAAGCTAAAAAAATGTAACAGCTAAAACACGTTAGTCTGCATGTGTACAGAGAGAAAGTACTTATAAAAATACCATAGTATTAGCACATTAGAAATAGCAAATCACTTCTCTGTACAATTAAACTACCTTAGAATAGTAGAATGAAACAGAGCGCTAACGTTTTGAGACGCGCTTTCTAAAATCTAAAAGTCCTAAAAATGCAACACGCAGGACACAACCAAAAAGTCCATCTACATAAACCAACAATTAGGAAACACTTGACAGTTCTTTAAAATGGAATAATTGAAACATGCTACTTTAGCATGCTGTTTAGCTTACCGTTAATGCGCTGAATCACTGTTAGCATGCTAATTTACTAATCTGTGGTTGACTAGTCCATCATTCTGACCCATTAATGCCTTACAGGCCATGTGTGGCTAACCACTAATGCACAATCCCAGCTATACATTCCCTTATAGCTTTTATGTACTCTAGACACACTATATAGGCCATGTTTGTTTTTTCTTATTCGATTGAAGTCCCTTAAGGTTCATTTTGCTCCTGTAGCTCATAACACCTGGCCTGCGGTGCTCTGGAGCTCAGCTAATGATAACGTCATTATTACCGACCTGCTCCTTTAGTCACCACCAGCTTGGGTTTGCTGCGGGCTCCGTCTCCTTTGGTGGTGTAGGCTGCCACGGTGATGGAGTACGTGGTGTCAGGCTGCAGGCCTCCGATGACCATCTCCTGTGGTTAATGGACACGAAGGGGGACGTTAGCACTATGTTAGGGAACTTAATTTTTTAAAGACTTTACTACATGTCACCCGCACAGACACGGCGTCAGTTTCCCCTCTTTTCAATGTCACAGCCTGCAATCTGTACTCTGCTGTCTTTTTAGATTACAATTCCTGCTCATCTATGACACATGTCTGTGAATTAATTCAATAGAGAGTCTGAGCAAACAGACCGTCAGAATAATGAATTTCTCTCCGGGTCGGCCGGTAAGCTGTGCGCACACACGGCCTTCTGATGGCCTCCTATTTTCCAATATTTCACGTGAAAGCGAGTGAGCTTTGATCAGCGTGCATGACGGAGAGGAAATTAATGCCGAGCACTCACAGAGAAAAAAGCAACTGTGGGTCCCGCAGCTTACAGAGAATTGAGCTTCACATCAAACCAGTTCAAGATATTCATGCAATTTTTGGGTTAGACAAATGATCTACTTATAAAAATAAATAAAATGCATATCTCATTTCTTCAAAAGGTTGCTTGATTTTTGTTTGTACTATACTTAATGCACAACATCACAGCACAAAACACACTGTTTCATGCCAGGCATAAAGGAACCCTGATGTTACATCATTCCCCCTGTGCACCATTAATATTTTTCTATCACCGTCTCTCTCTCTCTCACACACACACACACACACACACACACACACGGGACGTGAGGTTGCATTAGTTGTTTTCTTTCTCTGACAGAAATCAGCTCATTATAAAAATATTACAACACAAAAAACTTGCATGACACTTTAATTTCAACATACATGTGTGAATCTATATGCATCAATCCATTTTCTTTGTGTTTATGTGGAACACACCATCTGAGTTAATTACGTGACCTGGGTTTTTGCGTCTGCAATAGACCCAATTATCCATTGTTTGTCTTGAAATTTTTCACTTTTTTGCCAACTTTAGAGGCCAGTTTAGATAATATTTCTACCCTGATGATACTCTGCACCCCTAGGACTTGAAGGGAACATGTTTTTCTACCAATCTACCAATTTGTACAAAGCTAGCAATCATAGTTCCTGATATATCATACCCTAAACATGGCTTCTCAGACGTGTTTACTTATTAAAAAACATGATGTGCTAGAATCTACATGAAATATACACACCTCGGTTCATTATAAAATTCTTTCAATGTTTATGACATTTCCCCAGTAAAAACACCATCTGAGTTTCTGCCTATAAATACACTCAATGGCCGAGATACAAAGCAGGTCTGATGTAACATCACAGGTTCTCCCGACAGCCATACTCACATATTCAGCTGCGTCGTCCATTTCCCACTAACATCCCCCACCCGGGAGGAGAAAGGGGAGGGCGGTTTGAAAGAGAGGAGAAAGACAGACAGAAAGAAAGAGAGGAAAGCGTAAGACCAAACAAGGTAAAAGTGCCAAGGAAATGGAAGAACGGCAGAGTGTTTTAAAGTAGGTCAGTGTGGATTAGGGTGAAAAAAATCGTGAAGATTGAAGACGAGGCAGGAAATTGAGTGGCCGCTGCTTTCTGAGCATGTCATTCCTGCAGTTTTTTCACCATTTCATTTAGTAAGAGTATAAAATGGCTGTTTTGGAGTTTGATATCAGACCATGAAGGCAATTCTGCGAAGAAATACTCAAAGATTTGTCTTATGCAATGCAAATTTAACTTGATGCATAACAGCATCGGGATAATTCACCTCAAGATACTGTAGTGATATTTCTACACCCAAAAAATTATTTTTATTTAAAATTATACATGAACATTTAAAACAAATGAATATGCCATGACTACTTATTGAATAAATTTCATTGAAAAACAAAACTAAAACAGAAAACTACTGTGATATTAACTTCACAATACTGTATTTATATTCTCACACTGAGAGTCGATATTTAATAAAAGTTATAGTAAAAATCGTAATATTTAAATTAATAATTTATTCTATAAATCAAAGTTCTACATATTTAAATATTGAATATTTACATATATAAAACGAATTCAATATGAGATGAATAAAAGATCGCAATATATAATGTTTGTAGACAATAAACATCGACATAATATCAACTGATTCCCACGCAAGTGACAACTGTAAATTATCCTGTCATAAACATTCATAAGCTTTAGTCACGGTTTGTTCAAAGCTGTAATATTTGCAGCTGTGAGGAGAATAAGGCGCCTCGTATCTGTAATTTCACTGCTGTTTTCATGACAGAAGCTTGTATTATAATTTTAGGTTGCAGCCAGAGGCACTCGCTGGCTTTTTCATTCTACATCCTTAATTATTGTCTCTTTCTCAAGTATTATGTAAATACATATGCATATCTCTTTATTTATACAGTTCTATATAGAGTAAATTATGCACAAATCTGTACATAAATCTACTGTTCCAGATTCATACACATTATTTATTGTTAAGTTTTACTATTTAAATGTTTTCTTTCTGTTCTCATGTCAGATGTGTATGTATGTATGTATGTATCAGTGTTGGGAGTAATGCATTACAAAAGTAATAATAATACAGTAGTATATTACGTTTTGTTGTAACGCAGTAATATAACGCATTACTAATAAAATTTGGGTAATATTATTACTCGTTACAATCTCAGTAACGCAAGTTACAACAACATATTTTAACAAAATTAAGTGGTGAATTTTCCAACACCGCAAAACAGCACCAGAGAAAAAATTCCGCAGGTAAAATAGTTTGTCTATCTTCTGTTGCTGGAATTAGATGGTTGAGATGACTGCAGAGACAGATTCTACATTTGTGAGATGGACACACTCCTGTTATTTTCAGTTTATCGGAGAAAAGGATAAGAATGCTTAGCAATATGTGCGACACCAAACTCTCAACATGGAGAAATAGCACCAGCAGTAAAACCTGGAAACACTGGACTGGTGCCACTAACACTAAGCTATCGGAGAGAGCTGCGGGGTCGGAGAAGAGGAAAAAGGTGGCGGACGAGCGTAGACAAGCAACAAAAATTAAGTTTAACTAAAAATAACTAAATCTGTGAGTTCAGAGGGGGTGCCCAAAATCTAATTAAATTGAGTGAAAATAATGAACTCCTATAAACTTCAGCATACAAATTTAGCCACCTTGTATTTTTTATATACAGCAGCTTCGAAAAAGGCATATTTTAGATTTTTTTTTTTTTTTTTAACTAAAAATAACAAAATGTGTTTTGATTTAGAAATAGCGCGAGTTATCGGAGAGAGCTGCGGGGTCGGAGAAGAGAAAAAAGGCGGCGGACGAGGGCAGACAAGCAACAAATATAAATTTAACTAAAAATAACAAAATGTGTTTTGATTTAGAAATAGCGCGAGTTATCGGAGAGAGCTGCGGGGTCGGAGAAGAGAAAAAAGGCGGCGGACGAGGGCAGACAAGCAACAAATATAAATTTAACTAAAAATAACAAAATGTGTTTTGATTTAGAAATAGCGCGAGTTATCGGAGAGAGCTGCGGGGTCGGAGAAGAGAAAAAAGGCGGCGGACGAGGGCAGACAAGCAACAAATATAAATTTAACTAAAAATAACAAAATGTGTTTTGATTTAGAAATAGCGCGAGTTATCGGAGAGAGCTGCGGGGTCGGAGAAGAGAAAAAAGGCGGCGGACGAGGGCAGACAAGCAACAAATATAAATTTAACTAAAAATAACAAAATGTGTTTTGATTTAGAAATAGCGCGAGTTATCGGAGAGAGCTGCGGGGTCGGAGAAGAGAAAAAAGGCGGCGGACGAGGGCAGACAAGCAACAAATATAAATTTAACTAAAAATAACAAAATGTGTTTTGATTTAGAAATAGCGCGAGTTATCGGAGAGAGCTGCGGGGTCGGAGAAGAGAAAAAAGGCGGCGGACGAGGGCAGACAAGCAACAAATATAAATTTAACTAAAAATAACAAAATGTGTTTTGATTTAGAAATAGCGCGAGTTATCGGAGAGAGCTGCGGGGTCGGAGAAGAGAAAAAAGGCGGCGGACGAGGGCAGACAAGCAACAAATATAAATTTAACTAAAAATAACAAAATGTGTTTTGATTTAGAAATAGCGCGAGTTATCGGAGAGAGCTGCGGGGTCGGAGAAGAGAAAAAAGGCGGCGGACGAGGGCAGACAAGCAACAAATATAAATTTAACTAAAAATAACAAAATGTGTTTTGATTTAGAAATAGCGCGAGTTATCGGAGAGAGCTGCGGGGTCGGAGAAGAGAAAAAAGGCGGCGGACGAGGGCAGACAAGCAACAAATATAAATTTAACTAAAAATAACAAAATGTGTTTTGATTTAGAAATAGCGCGAGTTATCGGAGAGAGCTGCGGGGTCGGAGAAGAGAAAAAAGGCGGCGGACGAGGGCAGACAAGCAACAAATATAAATTTAACTAAAAATAACAAAATGTGTTTTGATTTAGAAATAGCGCGAGTTATCGGAGAGAGCTGCGGGGTCGGAGAAGAGAAAAAAGGCGGCGGACGAGGGCAGACAAGCAACAAATATAAATTTAACTAAAAATAACAAAATGTGTTTTGATTTAGAAATAGCGCGAGTTATCGGAGAGAGCTGCGGGGTCGGAGAAGAGAAAAAAGGCGGCGGACGAGGGCAGACAAGCAACAAATATAAATTTAACTAAAAATAACAAAATGTGTTTTGATTTAGAAATAGCGCGAGTTATCGGAGAGAGCTGCGGGGTCGGAGAAGAGAAAAAAGGCGGCGGACGAGGGCAGACAAGCAACAAATATAAATTTAACTAAAAATAACAAAATGTGTTTTGATTTAGAAATAGCGCGAGTTATCGGAGAGAGCTGCGGGGTCGGAGAAGAGAAAAAAGGCGGCGGACGAGGGCAGACAAGCAACAAATATAAATTTAACTAAAAATAACAAAATGTGTTTTGATTTAGAAATAGCGCGAGTTATCGGAGAGAGCTGCGGGGTCGGAGAAGAGAAAAAAGGCGGCGGACGAGGGCAGACAAGCAACAAATATAAATTTAACTAAAAATAACAAAATGTGTTTTGATTTAGAAATAGCGCGAGTTATCGGAGAGAGCTGCGGGGTCGGAGAAGAGAAAAAAGGCGGCGGACGAGGGCAGACAAGCAACAAATATAAATTTAACTAAAAATAACAAAATGTGTTTTGATTTAGAAATAGCGCGAGTTATCGGAGAGAGCTGCGGGGTCGGAGAAGAGAAAAAAGGCGGCGGACGAGGGCAGACAAGCAACAAATATAAATTTAACTAAAAATAACAAAATGTGTTTTGATTTAGAAATAGCGCGAGTTATCGGAGAGAGCTGCGGGGTCGGAGAAGAGAAAAAAGGCGGCGGACGAGGGCAGACAAGCAACAAATATAAATTTAACTAAAAATAACAAAATGTGTTTTGATTTAGAAATAGCGCGAGTTATCGGAGAGAGCTGCGGGGTCGGAGAAGAGAAAAAAGGCGGCGGACGAGGGCAGACAAGCAACAAATATAAATTTAACTAAAAATAACAAAATGTGTTTTGATTTAGAAATAGCGCGAGTTATCGGAGAGAGCTGCGGGGTCGGAGAAGAGAAAAAAGGCGGCGGACGAGGGCAGACAAGCAACAAATATAAATTTAACTAAAAATAACAAAATGTGTTTTGATTTAGAAATAGCGCGAGTTATCGGAGAGAGCTGCGGGGTCGGAGAAGAGAAAAAAGGCGGCGGACGAGGGCAGACAAGCAACAAATATAAATTTAACTAAAAATAACAAAATGTGTTTTGATTTAGAAATAGCGCGAGTTATCGGAGAGAGCTGCGGGGTCGGAGAAGAGAAAAAAGGCGGCGGACGAGGGCAGACAAGCAACAAATATAAATTTAACTAAAAATAACAAAATGTGTTTTGATTTAGAAATAGCGCGAGTTATCGGAGAGAGCTGCGGGGTCGGAGAAGAGAAAAAAGGCGGCGGACGAGGGCAGACAAGCAACAAATATAAATTTAACTAAAAATAACAAAATGTGTTTTGATTTAGAAATAGCGCGAGTTATCGGAGAGAGCTGCGGGGTCGGAGAAGAGAAAAAAGGCGGCGGACGAGGGCAGACAAGCAACAAATATAAATTTAACTAAAAATAACAAAATGTGTTTTGATTTAGAAATAGCGCGAGTTATCGGAGAGAGCTGCGGGGTCGGAGAAGAGAAAAAAGGCGGCGGACGAGGGCAGACAAGCAACAAATATAAATTTAACTAAAAATAACAAAATGTGTTTTGATTTAGAAATAGCGCGAGTTATCGGAGAGAGCTGCGGGGTCGGAGAAGAGAAAAAAGGCGGCGGACGAGGGCAGACAAGCAACAAATATAA